TTCGCCTGGGGTCTATACGTCATTGTTGCACGTTGACGCTGATCCAGGATCTTATTAAAACGCGAAAGAAATCGGACATAAATCGGGTTCACGATTATGACGGATCACCTCGCTGGCACCAAATCGGCGGAACACACATTCCTCGTAAGATTCTGCCACGGTCTGGGCCGTCCTGTATCCGCTCGCCTTGGCAATCACATATCCGGAGAAGAAATCTTCGAAGATCAACAGCTCAGTATTACCTTTATAGGATCTGGGCAATGAGGGGATGTGATCCATGGCGATGATCTGGAATGGATAAGTCGCTTGAAGATTGCCCGGCGATTCACCCTGGATCCGGGGTCGCCCTTTTCCCTCACAATCCACACACTCACCGACATATCTTTGCACACTTCGGTACAATCCCCTCCAGAGAAAATGATCCCGGATCCGATCGTAGGTACCGCCGATCCCCTGATGCCCACCTTGGAGGTTGGTATGATAATGGTGTAGAACATCTTGATGCAGCGTTTCAGGTAACACTAGTCGCATCAATTTGTCCCGATCCGCAGCTGATTCCTTCGTAGTGGGACAATAGAACAGGAGATAGTGCTGGTCCACTTCATAATTCATAGCGATGAATCCGCAAGATCTGGCCTCTTCCTGTGTCAGATCGCGTATTTCGCCAACCAGATACTTCTTCAAATTGTGGATCCACGCCTCCTCGTCCTGTGCCTGCCAGATCCGCTCGATCCTGAGCTATCTGATCACTTCCTCGCACAATACCGGAGGGTTTGATCCCGATCTCACGCCGGATCTGACCTTCGATCTAGTAGTAACGGTCGAGATCTGTACTGCCGGATTTCACCACCAATATCTCACCAGCCTGTTCGATGTGATCAGATCCTGAATCTCTCTATCGGGTTCGACTTCGATCCCACATTGCCGTTGCAATGCAGCACTAGCCAGGCTATCTGCACTTCCGTTCCAATCCCGCTTCACATGTACCAACTCATGATCCGACCGGATCCGCAATCTGTCCAACGCCTTTTGTCTTAATAACGTCAGTCCAGGCGCCTTGCAATCGATCTCACCTCTAACTTGGCGGATTACCAGGTTTGAGTCGCCGCAGATCACCAATCGCAGCGGATTCGTCCCTTCCAGCAAATCGAGACATAACAAAAGGCCGTGATATTCGGCCTCATTGACAGTTAGGCCCTCGGCATAGCCGGATCTAGCCTTCACCACAGTCCACTCAGGTAATTTCCACAGGATCGCGCTGTAAGCACCTCCACCTCGCTTGACACGGGCGGATCCGTCAAAGCTAGCGACATATAGATCCTCATCCGATCTCAGTGACGGGATCGGGGTTTGGATCTTGGGTCTCGGCTCTTTCTTCGGGGCGATCGAGATCAGCGCTTTGTCGACTTTGGATCTGGGGGTGATACTCGCTGCTAATGTGCCCAGGATCTCATCCTCGCCCTTGTTACACTTGACGATCTCGAGGATCCAGGGTGAAAGTAGCGCGGCCTACTGTCCCAGGCGACCTTGTAGTGCATTGGATCTAAATAACCAAGCCAGTGTGGAATGTCGCGTCAGCACTCGGATCGGTCTCCCAACCAAAGTATTATAGTTGAGATCCAGGATCCGCAACAATGCCAACACCTCTTTCTCTGCGATCCCATAATTTAATTCGTTGGACTTCAACGTACGGCTCGCGAACATCACCGGATAGTAAACCTGATCATATTCTTGCATCAATGCACCGGAGATCGCCCAATCACTGGCATATACAACCACCACAGCTTGTCGATCCGGATCGAAGTGGCGCAGGATCGGGGTCTTCACGATCTTCTCTTGTAGTACATTGAAAGATCTGTGAGCATGGATCCACCGGGGATCCAGATCCGCAAGATTGTCCTTCTCGGGGTTCGATGCCTTCACACAATCGGACGTCGGATCCCGTGACGCTAGGTTCGGATCTTGATCGCTAACTTCGGGATCAGGACCCCGCGGATTCGGATCCAAGAGTTGCGGACTCGTCGGATCCTTAGTCAACATGTCTGGATCCGGGGATTCCGATGCTAGTGCTAGCTGGATCCGGCTTCGATTCATGCCCTTCTCCATCGCAGCATGGTCGATCTCCCTCAATGCATACAGCACAGACGCGTTAATCGCGTAATCTTCGATGAAGCGACTGTAATAGTTCAGGCTGCCCAAAAAGGATTGCATGGCACGCAGGGATCCGGGAAACTCGAGATCCGTCAGCGCCGACAGATCCTTTGGATTCGCCTCCAGCCCGTCGTGCGATATCTTGTGACCGAGATATTCCACCTTGGGCATGCCCCAGAAACTCTTGACAACGCTGATCGACAAGTTCCATTTGTCGCACGCCTCCAGGAGATCTTCGACTCGGTCACATAGCTGATCCCAGTTATCCGCTGGCACTAAGATGTCGTCGATATAGGATCTGCGTCCTAACACGGATGGTTTGCCCGGATCTTCGGGCTCTCCGGCCTCGAATACATCCAGATGCTCAAGATCACCTGCCATTTTTGGAATCCGAGTGAACCCATACAGGGCATTGTCGATCATCGGCTGGTAGATCTGCGGCGCATTCTTCAGCCCAAAAGGCATCCGATTCCACTCGAAAAATCCAAATGAGGTAATAAAGGCCGAGATCAGACGGGCCGGATCCGTCATCTTCACCACCCAGAATCCGCTCGCAATATCCAGTGAGCAATACCATAGTGTAGACTCGAGATCCTCCAGTAGATCGTTGATCAGCGGCGTCGGGTAAACCATCAGCTGTGTAAGACTGTTAACCAACCGATAATTAATGCTCAATCGTATATCCACATCTTTCTTCTTGATGATCACGACGATCGGCGATGCCCATGGAGATCTTGAGTGGTTGATCATCTTAGCTGACAGGAGACCCTTGATCAACTCTGCCAATTTCTCTCGGAACTGGATCCGCAGCTTTCGACACTTAAGCGCGATCGGCCTAGCTCCTCCCACATCAATACCACACACAACCCCTCGGGCCGCTGATGGGAGCGCATTCCCCTTGCCGATCAGGAGATGTCTGAACTTCCAGATCTGCTGGTGGAGTCGGTCGATTTCTTCAAGCGTCTGATTGTCAGATCTGCACAATTGGATATCCTCGATCCTCACATCTTCCGTCGTTGCTGGGATTTCAGGCAGTACCGTTAGTTGTCCGTCGACATCTTCAGCGTAGAGATCGCTGCCTTCGTGGTAATACACGCATTCGTCGTAATCCTGATCCGAGTCCCAAGTAAGGTCCAAAATCCGATGTGTTCGGTTGATCTTCCAAAACAGCTGACGGATCCTCGTCCTTTTTCTGTGACATAGACGTGGCGTCCTTCTGGTCCAACGGGTCACCCAACTTATGGCTCGTACCAGATTCTACACCCATCAATGATGATGGGTGCGACCCATCACCCTTCAACATCGCCACCTTCGGATCTTGGACTTCCTGAACTGGTGAATCTTGATCCGCGCCAGTTACACGACTAGGAGCTTCCTCTGCCAATACCGTTTCCACGGCTGGATCCTCGGCCAGGGGCAGATCCGCTGTTGTAATACCTGATACGCCTGGATCCTGATCGTCCAGCGCCTTCACGACCGTTACAACATGTGACATAGAGCCGTCTCGTCATCTGCGATAGACGACAGATCTGACCCATCCCTTGCGACAGACGCCACCTCCAACGGTCGACAACCCAGCGGCGGATAGTCCGACGGCGGATTATCCAAAGGCGGGTGGTCAGAGACCTTTCGATCTCCACCTGATCCGCCCTTCAGACACTTGATCGTCGTCGGCCTTGGTCGTTGCAGTATTTCGCGCGGAGTTTCATACTCGGGGCGCTCCACCGCAGGCCTTGGCGGATCTTCCGCATCCGGATCCGAGTCTACAGATCGGGGACCCACGGTCGCTTCGAGGGCCAGATTGTGCCACTCCATGTAGCCCGGGATCCCACTGAGATGAAACCTGGCAGTTGCGGGACATGATCGCCGGCCAGCCAGATCCCGATCCGCAGGTCCTGATGGAGGATCAGCACTTTGTCGCCGACGTTCGTGATCTTCATGTATCGGATCTTCCCCGGACCATGGACTCTCCACGGGTGACCCAGAATTTCTCGTGATCCGAAGTCCTCAGGCGTAAGGGAAGCTCCGCTGATCCTCCTGGCTGGATCCTCAGATACTGCCCAAGATTCACGATCCTGGCCTTGTCGCTGTAAAGCTGTCGCCTTCCGCTAAGCTGGATCCGGACTTCGTCGGGCAAGCTGATGAATCCGTGAGCGAGATCCAGGCGGATCCCAGCCGGGACCATGAAGTCCATGCCTAGGATAGCTTCCTGCCCAGAGAGACCCCCATCCAGATATCGGAGAAATACGCCAACGATCCTGCGAGAGTTACCTTGATCCGCGTTCTTCCTTCCGTTCGATACACATTATCGCCGATCCCCACACAATCTTGGATCTGACTCGAGTCGATGTAGCACCCAACCTTACGAGCAAATGCGGTATCCACGATGGACATATCGACACCAGTATCTAGGAGTAACATCGCCATCTCATTGTGGATCTTGCCAACGATCTTGACTTGACGGAACCCCTTACCAGGAGCATGGTGTTTCCAGTATCCGCGGGATTTTCCAGGTAGGAGATCCAATGTTTACACGCATCCGGATCACCGATACTCCGCGATCCGACCTGGCTTCGTGATCTCCGCTGTAGTCTCCTGATCCGCAGGTTTCAACCACAGATCCGGATCCTTCGGCTTCCAATAACCTCTGGATTCTCCTGGATGAAGATCCACAGTCATAGTCACATCGGATTTGGCATATTCATCAGGTTGACGGAGACTATCGCGAAGGTATGATTCCCATGCAGATCACGTGTATTATCGGGTAGATCTCGCTGCTTGTTAACTTGATCTATCGATGTCTTATGCACAAATGCATAGATGCAATATCTAGAACGCTCGGCTGAATTCCACCCCGACGAGCGTCCTAGTTTAACATCTTTTCGGCAGCTTCCGGCAGCATACCCATGTGTTTGGTCGGATTGAACCATTGGCGGATCTGATTGTAAAACTCCTCCATCGGATATTTGCCCATGTCATGGAGCTCGCCGCATCCGCGACACACAAAAAGGCAATGATCCGCTGGATGACCTCGTTTGCCACACTTGGTACAAGTCATGCGTCTCCAACATCCAAGATTTGAATGCTTTTTGGATCCGCAGTACGAGCATCGGCTCCGATTGAATCCATCACTCTGGATCTTGGATCGGTGTTCCTGGTGGATATGGTTCATAGATCCCGGATCTTGATCTCCCGGATCCGGCATGATCGTCTCGCTTTCCTCCTTCGAGTGACCTCTTGATTCGGGGCGAGGTAGATCCGGCGATGACTATCCATCTCAGAGTCGGATCCGTCCGATCCATCAGAAGAATCGGATCCGGAGTCAGCAGCGTGGATCTGGATCGCTCGCACTTGTTTGGCGGGAGCCGACATGCAGCATTGGATGCCTTTTGTCGGAACTTGCCGGATCCGAACGCAGCATTCTTCTGTCAGCTTTTGGGCCGATCCCGCGCACGAAGTACCTCCTCCAGATCGTCCGCATCCGATAGTCGTAATAACGTCAGCCGATCCGCCAGATCCGGATCCTCCAGTGTTTCAATGAAGTGATCCACATGTTCGCGCCGATCCTTGGTACTGCCATCTTTGATCTTGAGTCGCGCTCGCAATCCGGCAACGTTCAACCGGTACAGATAGTCCAACGGCGATTCGTCGGATCTGCGACGCGTATGATAGTATTGCCTCGCCACTGATACTCCAAGTCTGCAATACTGGATCTGGAAGCTGCGAAGCAGATCGCTTCACTTATTACGCGTGGATCGGCTCAGTTGGCGGTACCAGTTCTTCGCGGATCCCGCAAGCATATCGGCGAAGGTCAAGCATTTCTCTTCGTCTGACGCTTGATCTCGCATGAAGGCCGACTTGACCTTGCTGATCCTATCACGTGCTCAATCCTCGTCCGGATCCTTACCTGAAAACTCCTTCAGATCGGAGATCGTCGAGATCCGGACTCGTTGGATCATGGTGGATCCAGTGGATCCGGATGCGGCAGTGGCCACAGCCGCTTGGGCGGGTGCCGGGAAGTCAATATCGTCCGGATCATATTCCCAGTTGGATCCACGATCCGATGATAGGATCGACTCCATGTCGACATCTGCGATCCGGCATTCTGAGGTTCCGCACCAACTGGATCCGCACCTGCCGCTTGTTGTTCGGCTAGGAACCGGTCCATCGCTGCGTTGAAGAACTTCTGGAGCGTTCCAGCCGACCGATCCGAGCTCGAAGTGGTTGTGGCTTGATCAGTCGGTGTTGCTCCTTTCGGCTGACTGCCAGATCTGGCTGGGCTTGGTCGCCGGATCCTGGATCTCGCCTCCAGCATTGCCGCACCTGAAGGTCCCAGCGACATACGCCGGGTTCCGATGAGGTGTCTGATCCGTCTTCGGCAGCAGATGTGTAGTGTGATGCCACCGTCAGGTTGTCCACTACGTCGATCTGGGGTGATGATACTGGATCCGCGATCTGGGGCACTTCGCCAACCAGGATCTTCAGCTTTCCGAAGAGATCTCGGCTTGTGGTATGTATTACGGTCAGCTCCAGGTCGAACAGATCATCCGTCTCGAAGGATCCGGGGATCATGCCGGATTCCTTCAGCAGCTTGATCAGGACTGTTACTGCGTCGAGCTTGTTGGTTACAACTGCTGGGGCAGTTACTGGATCCTTTGGCTCCGCGATCCGCTTCAGCTTCAGGATCGTCATCACCGGATCCTGACATACAAAGTCGCGTAGCTCCTTCCGGTGGTACGAGTACTTCAGATCCTCGACGGACCATCCGGATCCGTCTTGATCTCCATCCACCTCATACTCAGGAGCCTTCATCTTCGTCCGCAAAGTCTTGGATCTTGGCTTTCCGACTTCGGATCTCGAGACTTGCGGATCCTTGGGCATATATAGTGTCGGCTTGTCCGGACCAATAAATGAATACGGTTCAGCCTTCACCTTTGTTTATTATGTTAGCGGATCTTGACGCGAGTCAGGATCCGCAGGGTCTCCATGTCGGAGACCTGTGGAGTGTGAGGTTTTTCTTCCAGATCTGGCTCAGGATCCAGATCGTCCTCATTTCCGTCGACAGAGTTCCTCCTGGCACTCTGACGATCCGCGGATCTAGCGTTCAGCGATGTCGTCGTCGATCCTGGATC